TGTGACGTCATTGTTCAATTTTGAATTTGCTTTAACATTTTTATTGTTATTTCTTGTTTGGATTTAATTTTTTCTTATATGTATTAGCTAGACTAATATTATAGCCTATAACATACTATAAAACAATAGGTTATTGAGATGAATTTGGTGTTGAAAACATGTTGATACTGCTTTTGTTTTTTTTTATTAATTAATTATGTAAATTAGGGATCTCGAGTCAAATGCTTATTACATGTTTTAATGATCAACATTTTTCTTATATAACAAATTCACAAGAATACTACATATTTCACTATTTTAATATTATATAGCAATGTATTACAATTGGAAAGAAAAAAATAGCCAATTTATTCTAGTTATTTAATTTTATATAACAACTTTCAAAGTGTTGTCTTTAAAATATTTGGCAACACTTATGTATTATTGCTAGCAAATACAACAAGTGAAAAGGTTGTTGCATATTATGACATAAGGTGACAATTTTGAATTGTCTTTTAAGATGGCAACAATTTTTATTTGTTGTCTTTGTTAAACTGTTGCCTTAGGTATTATTTTACCTTGACTTTTAAAATTGTTGCCTTTGAACTAAAAAGTGTTGCCTTATGAATAGACAACGGGGGCATAAATTACGCCTCATATGTGTTGCCTTAGGTACAAGGCAACACTTTTTTAATATTAGGCAATGGTTTTCCACTGTTACCTTAGCTTCATTTTGTTGTAGTGATTGTTTAATAATTTTGTATGTATGATTATCTAATTGAATTATTATTGATCCATATTTTTCAGTCTAATTAGGATATGTCGAATAATTCACTTAATTCAAACAGGTCCAAGACAACAAAACAACCCGATCTTCGACAATTCATGTTTAAAAGAATGAGATCCCAAGGGAATGAACCTCCTTCATTTAGCTCCCCCCAAACACAATAGAACAATGTGGAAATAGATGGTTCAAGTACTAGTAATGTGCCATCGAATGAAGAAGAGTTGGTATATGATGTTGAACTTCTTCCTCATGATCCCGGGAAAAGAATGAACATAATGGATTATCCCCCAAACCAAAGAAATGCGGTGAGAAGAGCTTAAATTCTAAAAAAACCTTGCTAACCAAAAACTTATAACTTCCCTCAAAGAAAAGTATTTGGTTTGCGCCGTTTTTGTGTGAGTTGGTTTAACAAGTGGGATTGGCTTGAATATAGTGTTGAGAAAGATGCCGCATTTTGTATTGTATGTTATTTGTTCAAGGGTGAAGTTGAAAGTAATATGGTGGTGCTGCATTTGTTGATTGAGGGTTTAGGAAATGGAATAAACCCAAACGATTTGAGAGGCATGTTGGTGGGATTAAGAGTGCTCATAATCTTTCCTATGAGAAGTATGTGAATTTAAGAGATTGGAAAAAAAAAATCAATTGTGAATGTGTTAGAAAAAGCAAGTAATGTGATTAAAAGTGAATATTATATTCGTTTGAATGCATCTTTAACTTGATTGAGGTTTCTTTTGGGACAAGGCTTGGAATTTTTTGGGAATGGTGAAAGTGATGAGTCTCATAATAGAGGTAATTTCATTGAGCTTTTGAAATGGCTAGGAGAAAAAGTTAAGGAAGTAGGTGAACATACTCTTGAAAATGCACCCGGTAATTGTCAAATGACTTCTCCTCCGATTCAATTAGTCATTATTATTTGTTGTGTAAAAGAAATAACTAAGTGAATATTGAAGAACTTAGTGATGATTACTTTGCTAGATTGGCCGATGAATCAAGTGATGTGTCTTAAAAAGAGCAATTAGCTCTTGTTTTGCGCTTTGTTGATAAAGGTAGTGGAAAGATAATGGAGAGATTTTTAGGCATTGTGCATGTTGGTGATACCATGTAACACCCCAATAATTCTCCCTTTAAACTTGTAAATACCTTTAATAAAATGCAAGATAATTACTGACGTGCTACCGCCACGTGTTCAAACGTTAAGGCTAATTTAGAATTTAACAGCGGAAAAACTAACTCAATAATAAATAAGTTTCAAAACTAATGATCAAAAATTAAGTCTTACAAGTTGGAACCATTAAGACCCTTATTCAAAACCCAATTAATAAAGTAGCAAATAGACCAACCGGAGTTTAGGAAAGTATAATGTTTATGCGAGAAATAAAAACACTAATAGAGACCAACTCTCCACTCAATTTCCTATCACTTGATGCAAGTCCCTCTACGCAAATACCTGTGATTAATCTGCTCCCCAATATTACAAGTGTAAAAGTTGGATCATAACAGGGTCATTGAAAGGCGAAGGCCATGACCAAGGAAAGACATACAAAAGCACTTAATCAGCAACGCTGAGTACATACAAGCTACGAAGTACAACAAAGAATTCCTAACATGCTACTAATTATAAATAAACACACAACAATTTAATTATTAACTTAAACACATGACTCAACTGTTAACATTACTAAGACTTCTCTAATTAGCATTAATTATTTCTTGTCATTTCTTTTTTAATTTTTTCATTGGATTAAGCAATAGACAAGGTTGTCTCCCCATGCTCTAATTCGGAACATCAATAAAAGAAAAACCACATGCCTCCTTTCGAAAACATCAATAAACAACCAATGGCAGACGGGCGCGACTCCGCGGCCATAGCTAGTATGAGATCTCATCTAACTCCTTATAATTTTAAAAAGTATTTAAAAACAAGAGACTCGTAGATCAGACGGCCACTAGAAAAGTGCATGGCTAATACCTCGTGTACCCCAACCCCTGTTTGTCATTACTTTAGATGTGCACAAATCCAGAGTTTTATTGCTCATCCATCTTGCACTGTACGTGATTTACATGTTTAAACTTGATGATGTCCCAAATACAAAACAATACAACCAATCAAACATTAATCATTCAAGCAATTCAAATTTCCAATTAAATTCTTGAATTATAAGTGACAAACAACATTTAGTGTTGAACCCCTTTAAACTACCTCGGTGTATAAACACCTTAAGTGCATAAAGCACCTCAAATCCTCAACCTTGTCTTATAGACTTCAATTCTTCCTTTACTCATTCCATTTCAATAATAATGAACGAGTAATAAAGTAATTCATTCCACATATTCATGTACCTTTGCCTCTTAGCTCATCTTGCAAGTTAATGCATAAATAATACTTACAAGATAAATCAATACGCATTTCTCATACATGAATCAATACCAATCATCACATTAATCACCAATCAAACTTACTACCATAAAATTTCAACCAATCCACAAGTTTCCTAACAGATTCTTAATTTTCCAAGTCTTTAAACATGCTTCTAAAGTCAAGTTTTTTTGTATCCTTGTACATACCTTGAGTAAACGAGTTGGTTGGCCACTTTAGGAACTAGAAATCACCCTCTACGAAATCCTCTCCTAAACCAAACAACAATAATTCAATCAATACCCAAGCAATACCAAACTACTTTAAAACCCCTTAAACCATTGAAATAATGCCTTTAAATTATTCACAATAGTCAAAGTTAATAATTTAATAGTTCAACTATAAGTTTATATGTTAAAATCATGAAACTATAGCTTATAACATGAACTTCCAGCAACTTTAAAGTAAGGAATATAATCTGAAATTTTAGTTTAAGATTATAAAACAACCTCATAGACATCTCTACTTGAAAATCATTATGTAGTAGGTTAGTATGTCAAAAACCTAAAATTCCATCGTAAACCATGATTTAAAACCTTTAAAACCAAGACTAAAAATCTGAAAATTTAATTTAATAATAGAATGTATGAATACAACAATCTAAAATTGAAATATATAATTAGAATTCAATTAGTTTCATAAAAACTTAATCAAACCTTCAAATTTCACAACTTAAACCCTAAATTAAACATAATTCAAATCTGAAAATTAATTTATAATCAAGATAATTGAATTTAAACATAATTTACACATAATATAATTAGATAAATTAATCAACACGTTATAAACCCTAAAATCATGAAAAATCAAGATTTATACCCTTAATTCTTAATTAAACCAAATCTGAAATTTTATTCCATAAATCAAACATAGTATAATTCATAATTTGTAGTCTTTTGTAATTCATATACATAATCAAACCATAATAATAACAATTAGAAACAAAAATTTATCAAAGGTTGAAACTTAAATCAATTTAACAAAACAAAAGAGAAATAAAGAAAGGAGAGAGAGAAGAGGGCAAACTAGTGGTTGTGGGTGAGCTGTGGTGGTTGCCAGAGCTGCAGGTGGGCACCGGTGGTGGCCTGTCATCGGTGGCAGTAGCATAGCAACGAAGAGATTATTTTTTTTTTTAATGCTTGTGAAACATTGAAGCAGCAAGGGAAAAAAAAGGAGGGAACTACGTGAATGAGGGGGGAGGAATTTAAGGGTTTTTGGGGTTTTTAAAAGTGTATGTGGGCTTGGTTTCCAACTTAAGTGGGAGTAGCAATTGTAGATTGGGCTTTAATGGGAGTTTAAGCTTTTTTTATTCAAAATTGGGCTATAAACATTATAGACAACGTAAGTTGGTGCATAGGGAGGGAAATTTAAATTAAAGTAGTGCGTATTAATTGTAATAAAGTTTAATTAAGTTTTTACATAAAATAATTTATTTAATAAAAATGAAATAAAATATTAGTTTGAATAATAAAGAAATATATTATAATTTACTCTAAAAATATGGGGGATTATATACTACCGGTTTATCTCTTAAAGATGCAATTATGTCTCCACTTGTTGGAACATTCATTGAGTTCATCTATGATAAGAGGACAAGGATATGATGGGGCTAGTAATACGAAAGGTCAAATAAATGGCCTTAAGACTTTGATTATGAATGATACTCCAAGAGCCTACTACATACATGTTTTGCTCATCAATTTCACTAACACCAGTTGTCAATTTGTCATTACTAAAAGGAATGATAGTTGTGGTTAGCTTTTTGAAATACTTGCAAACTTGTTGAATGTTGTTGCAGTTTCTTGCAAGAGAAGATAAATGACAATTTGTAATAGTCAAGCTCAAGAAGTTGCTCAAGCATTGGAAGTGGGGGAAATTTTGAGTGGATCGGGTTTGAATCAAGAGCTTAGTTTAAAGAGGCCCGGAGATACTCATTGGGGATCTCATTACAAGTGTCTTGTCAATGTCATCCGCTTGATTTCTACAATTGTTAAGGTACTTGTTCACATTGGGAAACATGGTGCATCGGAAGATAAGTTTAAAACTCAAATTGGTTTAGGACAATTAGAATAATTTGATTTTATTTTTGTGGCTTACTTGATGTTGACTATTTTTAGTTACACTAATGATTTGTGTATTGCTTTGCAAAGAAAGGAGCAAGATATTGTAAATGCCATGGAATTAGTTACTTTCACAAAAAGTGTGTTGCAAAAAATGAGGGAACAAGGGTGGGAGACTCTCTCTTAAATAAGGTTACTTTATTTTGCACTAAACATGGCATTGATGTTCTCACTATGGATGCTCTTTATGTTCCTCAAGGAAGATCACGACGCTTTGTCGAAAAAGCAACAAATCTACATCATTTTCGAGTTGAAATATTTTTGGGGGCAATTGATTTGCATCTTCAAGAACTTGATAATCGGTTCAATGAGAAAAGCATGGAGTTACTTACTTGTATAGCTTGCTTAAGTCCTAAAGATAACTTCTCATCTTTTGACAAAGAAAAGGTACTCAAACTTGCCTCCTTTTGTTTCGAAGAATTTTCAAGTTTTGATTTGATGACACTTGAAGGTCAACTTGATATGTTCATGGAAAATATGCACAAAGATGAAAGATTTCAAAATTTGCGTGATCTTAACTCTCTTTCCATGATGCTTATTAATACCAAGAAGGATAAGACATATCCTCCTGTATATTTGCTTTTCAAATTGATGTTGATTCTTCCCGTTGCTACGACAAGTGTTGAAAGAGTATTCTCCGCAATGACATATGTCAAAATTAAGTTGAGAAATAGCATGGATGATCAATTTATGAGTGATTATTGTTTGGTCACTTTTATTGAGAAGGAGGTGTTCCTACAATTTCCCAACGAAGAAATAATTGATCGTTTTCAAAATATGAAGACTCGAAGGATGCAATTGTAATTTAATATTAAACTCTACGTATTTTTTTCATATTTCTTTTGAATTGTAGGACTAATTATATATTGTGGATTCTTTAGTTGTAAAATTTTAACTATAAAACTATCTTTGTGTTTTTTTTTTTTTAAATATTTTTGTCAAATGATGCAATGATTAGTTGTCGTCCCCCCGATTATATATTTCTGGCTCCGCCATTGATTAATATTGTTTCACTTTTTCATCCTTTGTTTAAAACTGCATGCATGCTCTCATATAAGAGCTCACCTGCATCAATGTTTAGGCGTTTAGCATGTCATACTATTTCTGTGCTATTTTGTACTCCCTCTGTTTTTTTTTAAGTGCCCACTTCCTAAAAATGACCTTTTTCTTATAAGTGTCGTCCCATTACCAAAAGTGGAATTGATATTTGTCTTAATTCGAGTTCGGGATCAAAAGTTATGATAAAAACAAAAACCACAAACAAAGTGAAAAATAAACGCCTAAAATTTTCTAAACTCCATGGGGAGAAACGCCTAGAATTTTAGTTTCTCCCTAAGAATTTCGAAAATTCTAGGTGTTTTCTCCTAGGATTTTTGAAAAAACTAGGCGCTTGGCCTCCACCAAAAAAAAAAGGACTTAAACTTCGGGCCTCGGTTGGTGATGGTTGGTGGTGGTTTGTTAGGATGAGAGAATGTTAAAATATTGATGAGTTAGAGGGAAGAAAAACGTGGTTTATATGTGAGGGTATGTTCGTCCATTCATGTTTTAATGCGGACGTTACCCGTAAAATGAGGGTGTCATTTAGCTTTCCATTTTTTTCTAATATATATATATTTATTTGTTTGTTTATTATTTTCTTTTATCGTGTTTTTTTAAATTTTTTTTTTTTATTGCTGCACTTTATTCTCGTTGTCTAAGATAAGGGGTTTGCAGCATTTGGTCTAAATCGCACCAAATTGCAAACCAAACTATATTTTAGAGGTTTGGTTAGATTTACAGTTTCAAAATTACGGTCTAGTTTGAAAAAAAACTTCAAATCGCAATTTACGCTCTGAATTGATTTTAAAAAATTTGAAACCAAGCAAAACAACAAGAAAAAAATTGGTTTTTGCATAAAATGTAGTTTCCAGTTTCGTTTCTAATTTATAAAAAAGTAAATAAAAATTAGTAAAAGTAAATGAAATCATCAGACAGTAAGTAAATGAAATTGCCTTAAAAGTTAGACAAACTAGGAATCAATTGAAAAAGTTGGGGAATTACAAAAATGTCATTAATGAGCACGGGAAATACCTTATCCGTTCGATTGTAATGATCTAAGGGCCTAGATTAGTTCCTAGTTCTCATTTTAGCGTTAGATTCTCACATAATATATATATATATATATATATATATATATATATATAATATATATATATATATATATATATACATACATATATATACATATATATATATATATATATATACATACATATATATATATACATATACATATACATATATATATACATATACATACATATATATACATATATATATATATACATATACATATATATATGAGAATTGATAGAATGAGAAATGAGAAAATGAGAAAGCTAATAATATCCTAACATATGTCATTGTCAATATGAGAAAGTTAAGAATAAAAAAAAGAGGAAATTTAAATTTTAAACCAAGATGATGTGTCAAGGAATTAGTGGTTTTCTCATTTTCTCATTCTAGCAAATCCCATATATATATATATATATATATATATATATATAGAAATTGGATCATGTGAGAACACATCCCTTATGTGAGAACTCTAATCTATATAAGAACAAATCTAGACCATTGATCAAATTAAATCTAATTATCCAAAAAAAACATAGTAATGGCATTTCCGTAATTTCGGGAATTACACCTCCTTCTCTCTTTGCTATTCTTGTTGGCTTTCACATTCAACATCTCTTTCTCTCTCTAACCTTTTTGCTGCTATCTCTCTCCTCAAATCAGTGTTTTTGGGGAAATTTTATACCAACTTGAAGTAAGCTTATCAATATTATGATCTAATTTGTTTTCAAAATTCGATTATTTACGTAATTTGCTGAAATTCGATACAAACTTATATTATTCATGAATTAGGTTTTCGCAATTTTTTTTGCTTCGCCAATTGCAAATGGATTCGGTTGAACAAGTTAATGACGAACGAAGAAGATAAGTATCAATTGTACATAGTTGATAATCGATTTTTGATTGAGGTTAAGCTAAGGATTACTGATTTTTATGTCTTAACTTAATGACTTTGGTTTAAGCTGTGTTTTTCAATTTTACTTAGCAATATTTGAGTTTCAATTGAGTAATGAATATGCATTAGTTAGTCCTTTTTTGTTTTATTTAATATGGTTTAAGCCGCTTGGTTTTGTTAATTTTGAACTTAAAATTTCGTTATTGAATTTTGGTTTCGTTTTCTAGTCATTAATTTAGTTTGATCAATTTTTTTTATTAAACAAGTTAATTTAGTGTAACTCATGGATTTAAGGTTGGGATAATTTTGCTAGTAATCATCGTAGGTTTTTCATTTTTTGAGTTACTTCTTAGCTTATGTAATTTACTTTTGATTTATATTATTTATTTTTAGTTGATGGTGGTGGTAGAGTTTGGTATGGTTTGGTGGTGTTGATTATAGTGGCTGCGTGGGGGAGCTGATGTTCTTGAGATGTTGTTCAGTAAAAGCAGCAAGGATATTGTGAGATGTTGTTGTAGCCTGAGGTGTTTTGTGAATGGTGTTATGTGATTAATTAGCAGGGAGCAGGGGTGTAGGTGCCATGTGCCACTAGATGTTGCATGGGTGAGGGAACTAGGCAGGTGGTTGCAGAGTGTTTATGTTCAACTATTTTCCTGAGTTATGTGCTTAATCTTCCCAGAATTTATGATCTAATTGGTTGTATTTTTTGTGTGTTTGTGTCTGTCATTGGGCATTCTAGTCGAGGTGTGTGTAGTGTTTGTGTCTGTTTGGGAGAGTTGTGTTGGGTGTCCAGTTTAAGTGACAACATCTGGCAAACCACCTCCTTCAATCATAATCTTCATCCAAGTTACTGCCTCATCTAAGTTTCCTCTACTACAATGAGCATAGATAAATGTAGTATATATACAAGCACCTGGCTTATAACCTGTAGTGTGCATCTTCTCTAAAACTTGCTCATTTTAAGTTTTGTAGCTCATTTATGAAATATCAAGTTTTTGATTTTGTATAGCATATCTAATGAAATGTATGTTCTGTTTGGAGTTGCAGTCATTTGTTAAATTAGCACTAAGTATTTGCTCATTTGACAAATGAGCAACTAACTATTTGCTCATTTGCTAAATGAGCAAAAAAGTGATTGCTCATTTCCCAAATAATCAAAGAAATGTTTGCTTATTTTCCAAATGAGTAACTAATTATTTGCTCATTTGACAAATGAGCAAACTAATGTTTGCTCATTTGACAAATGAGCAAACTAATGTTTGCTCATTTCACAAATGAGCAAAGAAATGTTTGCTGATTTAATGAATGATTAAACAAACTATTTGCTCATTTGACAAATAAGCATCTAAGTTTTTGCTTATTTGTTAAATTAGCAACTAAGTATTTGCTTATTTGATAATTGAGCAAATATATTGATTGCTTATTTGCCAATTGTTCATTTGATAATTTATTAGCCTATGCTTCTCTATCATAACATACTCCTTAGGGTCAATTTATAGTTTGTACAAGGTTATTCCTTAGGGTCAGTTTATGCTATTAGGAGAAGTCAATCTTGCTAATTCTAATGGCATGTGCTTTAGCTGAGGACACCCACTAACATCAAGGCTACCCAAATTGATAAGTTTTCTAATATTTTGTATGAGCAGGACATCTGTTGAGACAGATTTTGCTACTAATGTTAGTGGTGACCAAGATGCAGCAAGGGCACAGTTAGGAGTTGTTGGTGATGACCAAGATGCAGCAGGGGCAACACATTTAGGAGTTGTTGGTGGTGACCAAGATGCAGCAGGGGCAGCACAGTTGGGAGTTGTTGGTGGTTCTACACATCCACAACATAAGGGAAAGAAGTTCAAGACAGTTGCTTCAAAGGACAAAGGAAAAAAGGTTTTAAAGGAAACATTAAAGAAAGAAAAACTAAGTATTTGTTAAAGTAGCAACTAAGTATTTGCTCATTTGTCAAATGAGTAACTAACTATTTGCTCATTTGCTAAATGAATAAAAAATTGATTTCTTATTTCCCAAATGATCAAAGAAATGTTTGCTTATTTTACAAATGAGTAACTAATTATCTGCTCATTTGACAAATGAGCAAACTAATGTTTGCTCATTTCACAAATGAGAAAAGAAATGATTGTTGATTTAATGAATGATTAAGGAAATGTTTGCTCATTTGAAAAATGAACAACTAACTATTTGTTCATTTGACAAATGAGCAACTAACTATTTGCTCATTTCTATTATGACCTTTCAACTATTGCTTTGTTCTAATTGTCTAACTTTTCCTTATGATTACCTTTTCTTAAAATGAGTAAACAAATATTGCTCATTTTAGCTGATTGATGCAAAAGAGCAAAACAATGTTGCTCATTACATATTTTGCTCATTTCGTAATTGAGAAAAATATTTCTAATCATTTCATAGATGAGCAATATATTTGCTCATTTCATAGATTGAATATAGAAAAATAATTTAAAACATATATTTTGAGCAAATACTCTTTGTTATTTATCAAATGTCCTTAGTACTTGTATATTTGCCCTGGTCTCCATTTTCTGGCCAACTACCATCACTATGGTTGGGAGGCCAACATATGTATATAGATGTTTTGGTTTATTTGTTTGACAGTCAAGGAAATGAGGATGATTGTAAGAAAGTTTATGTTGGAGGGATGCCATATAGTTCGACCGAGGACGATATGTGGAGTTTCTTTGATCATTGTGGTACTATAACTGATATTGATTGTATGAAATTTCCTGAGACTGGAAAATTCAGGGGTATTGCTTTTATCAGCTTTAAGGTACCTATATTTTATCACCGAGATTATTTATATTGTTTTGAATTTTTGAGCATTTATACTTTACTTCGTATTCATGAAGATCAAATATCAGTGCTTGACATATTGCTTTCAATCATTACAAATCTATCTTAGTGACATTGTTTGGGCTGGGGGAGAAGAATTGACCCTTGATAAGAATGATGTTACTGAATTCCATGAGATGTTAGGATAAAGCATGTAGAAATTGTTATTTGTGAGAACTGTTTTTCATTTGAATGCCTGAGTAAATGATAGCTCTTAAATTCCAGAAGGAACCTGATAGTCCTTAATTTTCAAAGCTTTGTTCGAGTGGCCCTCTTGTCCTCTTTAATGAAGACAATCTTGGTCAATTTGTAGTAATTAGTACAATAGTACAATCTGGTTGGATCTAGAATAAATAAAAATGGACTCTTCAGCCTATAAAAGAAGCTGCCAAACTCTCATTACCTTGTGGCAACATTTTTTATTTTGTTGTTGTACTAGTTATGTAGCAATCTTCTATATTGAACTAAAGTTAAGTGTTAACAATCCTAAAGCTTAACGTCTAGGCTTTTTGGCGAGGATGCTTTTCTCAACTACTTCCTCCGTTCTTTTTTACTTGACCCGCTTTGACTTTTACACTAATAACCACCCTTCCTTTGACCGTGTTTTGTGAATTATATGTATGGAAAAACTTATTCATTCATGTGGGATCTTGCTAGAATCGTCTCAATAAATACAATCACATATATAACTTTTTATCATTTTTACTTATTAAATATTAAAGCTATTGATGGTTTAAGTTGTACATCATCGGCAAGCGTGATAAAAGAAACACATCAAGTAAAAAAAATACGGAGGAAGTACGTTATAGTATAGGCCTCTTATAATTTAATCACAAATCTTCGAGAAATTTGATGGAAGGTATCCTATTTTGGGCATGTTTTTAGTTCTTACAAGGTTCCAAAAAACCTTTATTGATTTTTTATTTGTTTAATAGTTGTAAGTTGTTGAAACGATGTCATCGAATATTGACATATGTAACACATATTATATCATGTGCATGTATGCTATGTAGAAGACCTTGTTGGAGTAACTATTTCTCAGTTTCACCACTCAATTAGAGTGATGAGGAATATAGGAATCAAAGAATAGAAATATGCCTACATTTAGGAAGATATGAAAGTCAATATTTTTTTTTTAATTTTTTTATTATTATTATTATTTTTTGTTTTATTTCAATAAAGTATCCTGAATTTCAGGATTTTATGTTTAAATTTAGAAGTAGAGTTAAAATCAAACATGCCAATTTGCATATATACCTATGATTTATCTTCGCGCATGATCGTAATTCCCTGTCATAATAAAATAGCATATTCGTAATTACCCGTTTGTAACGGACTAAAACTCGTGCAAATTTGAATCTAAATTGAAATTATGAGAATATCTAGGCTCTTGTATCTTCCAAATTGCAAAGTTTTGCAAGCTTGTGAGTCTCAAAAACATCCATCTAAACAATTATAGTGCCATCTTTCTTATCAAAGTCATAACAATGACATGTCCCTCTAATTTTTTCCATATATCTAAATCATTACACGTTGGCTAACTCCAATGGTAGCTTGACACAAGTCATATACGAAGTTGTTGTTTTGAAGCCTTGTGAACTTTATCACCCACTTTTTGACTACCTTGTTCAATGACAGGATTGTCATAATGTCCTACACATATCTCTCTTAAGTTCTACCTTCTATTCTTCCATGCGTTCATAAAAATCAGATATCTAGTCTCTAAATTATACGCTTTTATGAAATATTGTTGAGTTATAGATAGTTGCTAACTATGCTATTTTCATGTAATGTGAACCATTGATCGTCACCAATTAGTGATGTAAATTATGATTTTTTCACTTTTCTAAAGTCTTTGTGCATGTTTTTATGCCTTTACTCTCCATTTTCTCCTTCCCTCCTCTGATTCCTCCTCAGTCTTCCTCTGATGTCTCTTCTTTCCTTTCTTTGAATTTTATCAAATATTCTATAGGAGCCCTTTTCATTTTGCTGCTTCTGAATTTTAACAATCATAATTAATCCATCTTTTGGTGAAATATTAGACATTGTAAATAGGTTGACCTGAACAACACACTCTATTAGAGTGGTGGGGGGGGACCGGGGGAAGGGATAGGGGGAGATAAAGACGAGAAGAGAAATGGTGTGAGAAAGAGAGATAGAGGGGGGGGGGAAGGGATGGGGGAGATAGAGAAGAGAAGAAGAAAAGTGAGAGAAAGAGAGAGAGAACCGGGGGGGGGGAAGGTATAGGGGAGATAGAGAAAAGATCGGGAGGGGGATTAAGAAAGCGAGAAAAGATGTGGGAGAGAAACAGAGAAAAGAACGGCAAGATTGGGAGGGGTATTCTGTAGACTAGTAGAGAGAAGGGATAGGGGGGGGACCGGGGGAAGGGATAGGGGGAGATAAAGACGAGAAGAGGAATGGTGTGAGAAAGAGAGATAGAGGGGGAGGGGGAAAGGGATGGGGGAGATAGAGAAGAGAAGAAGAAAAGTGAGAGAAAGAGAGAGAGAACCGGGGGGGGGGGGGAAGGTATGGGGGAGATAGAGAAAAGATCGGGAGGGGGATTAAGAAAGCGAGAAAAGATGTGGGAGAGAAATAGAGAAAAGAACGGCAAGATTGGGAGGGGTATTCTGTAGACTAGTAGAGAGAAGAGATTATACTAGAACTGAAAAAGAAGGAAATCATGGAACGAAATTGTGCAGCAACCTGCAGTCATCGGCCTAGGGCTTACTTACTTTCACCTAGTGCTTTGCAAACAAAATCTTGGTTAATCAAAATTATGAGTACATATGTATGATCCAAAGCTTTCATATGTGATGTCATCCTTTCCTGTCATTAAATATTTGTACCACAAGATTGCTGACCTTTACCCCCTTTCTCCCTGGTAGTAGTAATCTCTTTTCTTAGGTGGCTGTGACTGAAATACTTCTGGAGGATTTGCATTTTTATCAAGTTTATGTTAGTTCTTGTTTGTATCAATCAAAGCAACGAACCTTTGTGATCCTCTGGCTTCAAGATATGCAGGCATAGAATTCCTGATATATTTAACATAACCATTGTGCCAGTGATCTTTTTTTGTCATGTTTACTATATCAAACTATCTATTACTTGTAGAGCTCCTTCTATTTGGCAAGTCAATATCACTTGAGCATTTGGACAATGCCATCTTATAGGGGGTTGGAGAGACTTGGAAGTTGTAGCAGCTCGGTTATTTTAAGGCTTTGGTGGTACTGGCTAGATTACTGGATGATCAAATAATTTAAATATATAAACATGCTTGTTTAATTTCCTTGGTTTTGAGTCTTTTGACAATAAATCGTCTCTTCCTTCTACTTAGTCAATTTATTGTGATATTTTTAAACCCATTACGTAAATGCATTCAACTACAAATCATTACAAGATTGTCCTGTAGCAGTATTATATATTGATGATATCTTTTTAGATGAGGTGATTCGTGTTGGCTAGTGGCAGGGTTAGTAGCCAGAGCCACCAGCACCACCCTGCAGAATGTGACCTCAATAATCAAACTGGAGAAATTCCTTCCCCCTCCCTTTTGAAATTATATATCCTGTTAGGTTTGCAAATGATAATATTACCTCCATCCCACCTTATTATTAAAATGCTTTCTTTTCCTAATTTTATAATGTTGTCATGCTTTTTGCAGACAGAAGAGGCTGCTAAAAAAGCCCTGGCACTAGATGGATCTGACATGTACGTGTTTTCCAATATGCACCTGTCTATTGATTACTTTTCTTACTTAAGTTTCACATCATTCATATACTTGTGTCAATCTGCTTTTATCTCAGGGATGGCTTTTACCTGAAAATTCAACCCTACAAGGCAACTCGTACCACTAAATCATCAGCCTTTATCCCACCAGTCATAGAGGGCTACAACAGGATATATGCTGGAAACTTGTCATGGGATATCACAGAAGAAGACTTACGAAAGTTCTTATCTGATTGTAATATAACGTCCATCCGATTTGGGGAGGATAAAGAGACTGGGGAATTCAAAGGATACGCACATGTGGACTTCTCTGACAGTGGCTCTCTTACAAAGGCATTGAAACTAGATCAGCATGTAGTATGTGGACGGCCTGTGAAGATAAGTCGTGCAGTCCCTGTGAGAGGAGCTATAAGACATCCGGGGTCTGCCTCAGCACCATCAACTATGAAACCTCAACAGAATATTATTGGAGTTATGCCGCCAGCTGTAAAACCTGGAGAGAATCATAGTGTTGTTATGCCAGCAGCTGTAAAACCTGAAGAGAGTTATAATGAAGTTGTGCCACCAGTAGTACAACCACCAGAGAATAATACCGGGGTTAGCTCTGGGAAGCTTAAGAGGAGGACTTGCTATGAATGTGGTGAACGCGGTCACATTTCTTCTGCCTGTCCAAAGAAACAAGCTACTGAACAAACTGCTCCAAATGCTAGTTAATCTATTATCATAGAATTGTGACCATCTCCAGCCACTTGCCGTGGAGAATTTTTTTGACGCACCAGTAGTTGATTACCAGCATATTGACACTTTTATATGGTCCATATTTATAAAAGGAATATTTCTTTCTTGCCCCTCATAGAGTTGAGCTACACAGTATTTGCTAGTTTTACGAATTCGTTATTTGTACCTCTTTCTCCCCTTCTGTAGGAGCAACTTCTACAACTTTGCACTTTCCAAATGGAAAAGTTAGATAAAATTTTGTTTTCTGAGAAAGATAATATGAAATTTCACAATCTCAGGCTTTCTGTCTTCCAAAGCTTGTATGCAACACATTAGTCAGTTAAAAAAAATGGTGAAGTTCTCTTATGCCATTTGAGGAGGCAACTGTGAAGCTCTTTGCATCCAAATACATGTGTTGTACGAAAGATTCGTTGTGGATCATATGACTTTCCGATAATAACTTGTGTTCTATCAAGGGTAATTGGAGGTTATTTGAAAATCGAGTACAAGAAATGAATTATATGATGATGAGTTGAGCTAAGTTCAAGCTTAAGATAACTTTTTTTGTTTCAAGTTAAAAGTAAAGTCTAGTACTTTTCAAACTAAAAAAAAAAAAAAATACAAGCTTAATTTCACTTGAAAAACTCAACTTCAATTTAAAATTTCTTTTAGGTTATCAAAATTATCATGTTGTGATTATTGACAATGTTTTGGCAACTAGTCTAGAACGTCTTCTATCTAAAACTTCATTCCATACATATTATTATGTTGACCTTTTATGAAAGTTTCATATTTATTGCAACGTTTTCCTATTGGCATATGGTTTCTCTCTCTCTCTCTTCATCTAAAATCTACATACTTTCATGTTGCAATTTTTGCAAAACTTCATAACATTTTTGTAAACATTTTAAGTTGTTATTCTGACTTTTGAGATCATTAGTTGTGTCGGCCTTTATTATAATTTTATACTTTTTTTTTTTGACAATTACTATAATTTTATAGTTATGAGTGTGTGCTAATACTTTGCTTTTTCTCATTATTATAGAGGCTTTTTGAAACTCCTTTGCCTCCTTCAAGAAACTAAGGTACATATATACTCCCTCCGTATCGTAATAATCGCAACACTTTGACTTTTGCACTATTCATATGCTTACTTTGACTATACTTTTAATCAATATATAAAAAATATATATTGCCATGTAAAATATTTTTGGATTAGTCTTTATGTATATTTTCATTAGATCAAACTTTTATATGTCTTATATAATATATAATTACAAATATTAATGGTCAAAGTTGTGCATTGGCATGTGTGTCGGTCAAAGTGTTGCAATTATTAAGAAACGGAGGGAGTATAAAATACAAACTTATCCTTCAGCACAATAAATCAATCAGTAAGTTTTGATAAATATTTACATTCAAAATTGAGAACATAGTCTAATTCCATATCTAGTTAATAAACATAGAAGCTCTCTATACAGACCCAATGATGTGACATGAAGACTTCGTCGTTTCATCTCAACTTTGGAAACAGTAGTTCAACAAAATTATCTGGTGACGAGGGTTTGTATTCTACTGATGTAAAAACAAAGATCAGTAATCCAAATTTGTTAGTAGGCTACAGAGAAAATGCAATTTTCGTAGAAACAATGTATGAAAAAATTTGGACTGTTCATGTTGATTTGATACCATTATTAGACTGCTGAGAAATGTCTTCTTCACTTTCATGAGATGAATGTGGATGTACCTTCATAGGCATCTCGGTAGAATGAGGTGTGCTATCATCAAGAGGAGAGGAAATATGGTCCTCTCTGTGAATCAAGTTAGCTCCGTGTTCATCAACCTTAGTGTCTTCATCAGAGAAGTCACTGGGCTCCTCTTGATTACAGGAACCTGGAACCAAACCATTTTCATGATCATCAAGCTTGGTGTCCTCATCAGATGGAGGGCAATGCCCGTCTTGATGATCTATGAAGTCTGACGGCTGTGATCCATCAATATCGTCACAAGAAGGCATGGCAGTTACTACCTCACTCTCATGCAAGCAGATCTGTGCATCACCTACTTCATTCACAGAAATGCAAAGCTGAGCTTCATCCATATCTTCTTCATTTACATTTGCAATGTCTGGATGACATGGGTGATGATGATTGACCAAACGAACTGGGTGATGCATCTGTTGTACATATTCAATATCAGTTAAAGCATAATTTGGTATTAGTTGATCGTCTCTACATGTGTTATCCTCTTCACATTGCTCCAACTCATCTTTCCGCCTTCGTTTTCCCATTCCTTTTCTTCTGATCTTCTCCTTACCCCTACCTCTCTTGTTGCAATTCTCATTTTCTGGCGATGGTGATGCTACTGTGACAACACTTCCTGCTTGGTCACGTAAACACTCATGAATGATATATCTGATCCTGGTTATTGAGTGTATTTGCTCATTATCCAATCCTTGTAGGGACATTGTATCAGCAATGTGTGCGACTTCACGTAGAGTTGCATTCTACAATATTTTAAAAAGTAGGAAATGTAGACATGGAAAAAAGGAACAAAAAAGAAAGAAATTAACCAAAGCTGAACACACAATTTCTTTTTTAAAAAAGCATAGTTCACTTTAAAAACAAAACAAAAAAAAAATAAAAATTCAAGGAGTCACTGAAATTAATAATTCCAACTATTGACAGCCACTTATAATAGTTTCAACTATGGATTATTCCAAATAACCCCAACTATGTGGATGCCGATCCAAAACTGTCCAGTGACCTGAAGAAAATGGTTTATTAGGTTACAATTACTTCTCTTCTGTTTCCACCATCATCTCCTCCTATTTTCCAACAACTTTCCTCCCCCGACTCCATTACCATTTTTCAGCAACTCCCCTACTTCATACCCTTTACCCTTTTTGGGCACAACATAAAGATTGAAAGAGAGTTTCAGGTACTGTTTGGTTGCAAGGTAAGCAATCACAGTGGTGGGGACTGAGTCTGATTGCAGAAAATAAACTTTTGCTGTAAGTCAGGAGTCATTAACTTTCATGGTGGTAATATCTGATGGTAATGTCAAGCGCAGATAGTGAGTGCGGTTTTCCCCTGTGGTTTCTAGAAAGTGCAGCAGCATGGAAAGTTGTTTTCACGATTAAAAGATAGCAAGAATGAGAAAAGAAAAGGACGTAATGGCAGTAGTGGATGCCTTTTGTTCTTTGCCTTAGATAGAGAAGGGGGAGGGATGGTTGAGAATGGAAACAGGAAGGGCTTAGCATAGGCGGTCCAGGTAGCTTGGTTCGGGGGAAAAGAAGGTGGGGTTAATGGTAATTAATTAAAGCAGGCAAGGAGAATGGGACGACGAGGGCGAAGACTATTGGGCAGGACTCAGGACGGATGCAAGGTGGCTGTTCTTTTAGGGGAAGAAGCTAATATACGCGTGAGATTGGGCTTGGAAGGCAAGGGAGTAACTTGACTTGGTTGAGCAAGGGTCCAAGGGAATTGGTGCTTGGAGGACTTACTGGCAGGGAGGACGAAGAAAATAAATTAGTTACCTGCTTTTCCGGTTATGAATCACATGGAATCAATCTAAGAAGACAGCTTCCATTGTTGAGATTATTTTGAAAAGTTCATGATTGAAATAAAAAGCAAACCACCAATAGTTGGGATTATTCTTGTCAATTACTCCTTGCTTTGGATAGATGTTAAGTACTATTCAATCAAAGAAAGTAAAGGTCAGTGGTATGCAATCAAAGAACAGAGCAAAGAAGTTAAAAACAGCGGTTTTGTAAAAATCATTAAGAATAAAGTGTGGCTTTAAGAAAATTTCTATTTAATCCAACATTCAAAACGGAGAAAGAGAGCAAAAATAAAAAGGTTACCATTCTTTGAAACTCGGATGCAAGAGGAATCGGTCTTCCTACAAATCTACGAGTAATTCTCAAATACCAGTGCATATATTTGCTATCATCAGCATCTTCTCCATTATGCATGATATGGATATGCCGCTCTGACCATTCTTTGAGCTCCAACTCCATTTTTCCGGACAAGTCCACCCCACCATCAACTCCACGGCTCTTTCTTTCCCATCGGTCTACTGATTCTGGGATCGGTTGATTAGGCATGCCATACTGCCTCATACAACGATCTGGTAGGTGCCTCTCTGCCTTGTCAAAGCATATCAGCATCGTTTTAGACCTCCCCAAAATTAAGCTGCTTGCTATATTATCAGGTATTACCATGGGGTCAACATTCTGATAGGGAAACCAGTCTACCTGCAATGAAACAGAATGAAAACCCATTGTCATCTGAAAATTATCCAAAATGTATATATATAGAGACTGATCATGGTAGGCGTACATCAGCCGGCTTTAACGAGTCCAATGCCTTACGATAGAAGGTTATGTCTCGATTTGTAGTAGGACCATTTTGTTTTCCTTTCCACCGAAGTACTAGAGGAAAGTTATCATAATATGAATCTTGGGGAAGTTTTGGTCTGCCAATATTCAGGTGGAAGTAACTCCAACACTGGGAAAAAAAAGAAAAGTTAAGGTCACCACATACAAAAAGAGATCTTAAGGCATCTTTAATATAAGCTAAAAAACAAGCAGACTTAAGCACCTGTAATAGCGTTAAGCCGCCACTAACAGTGCTCTGAGATCTCAGTGATGCATTACCAAGTGCTCTATACAAAAAAGCCAATGCTGCAGCACCCCATGCATATTTCGCACTGTGGTCAAAATCCTCAAACAGAGGAAGGTACATCACTGGGACCTTATTACCAGTAGTAGTGGAAAAAATTGTACTTCCAACAAGGTAAAGAAGATAAGCCCGGGTATGGCGTTTTATATCTTCAGTTGATGCATTTTCAGGACAACGAGAGAAGCATTCTTTCAGCCAACTAAGCTTCACCATGCCACCACTAGTGTATCCAGAATCTGGTGCCTTTCCCAGATATCTTTCACATACAGCATCACATGAAGTATATGTGACCCCTATAACAGGTTCTCCGTCGATTGAAAGTCCAAGTAAATAGGCAACATCTTCAAGGGTTACAGTCATTTCCCCAACTGTCAGGTGAAATGTATTTGTTTCCCTACGCCATCTTTCAACTAAGGCAGATATCAGTGGATTGTCTATGCTAATTGCAGGAATGAATTTCAAATACCCAAATCCTGCCTTATCAATTAACTCAATCTGCTTTGGTGTTAGTACCCACTGATTGAGCTTTGATGTGTGTTCATGACATCTAAGTGCACCACGCTCCTGAAAATATCCATTTTAAAAATTCAGTAAGCAAGCCTGAGATTCAAGGACAATCTGTATTTGCAAAAGCATTGCCAATGTTTTACCTGCCCTTCCCAAACAGCAGAAGAGACATGCTTCTCTTGATCATAAAGAACAGAATCATCTAGTGGTCCTGGATTGAAAGCATAAAGGTCCATCTACATGAGAAAAATAAAGTCAGAAACTGGGGCCAAAGGGAAACCATCAAGCTCAAGATTGAAGTTTGAGTGTAAAAATGTATAAATGCTTCATAATTTCATAGTCAACAATTAAGAAGCTAACGGTTTTTTGTTTTTGGACATATTGTGTAACTCTTTTGAAAGGGTTTCCTTTATTTATATGCATGAGAGAACAATATTAAGTGGAAGGGGGATATACAAGCCAATAAGCTAAATCCTCCAGAGTTGCCAAAATACATATTGACTGAAATTATAATTATAATGATAAAAAAAGAAAAGAGTATTAACAAAATAAATATTAGGATGGAGAAAGCAATGCTAGAAAAGAAAAGATTTTGAGTGACCTACAGAAATGCTTGATCTCTTCCATATGAAGCTACAAGCTACAACAAAATCTAAGTAAACAAAGGCTAAAAAGAGACACTAAATGTTCCCAATAATCTACCGTCTATGCAAGAGGGAAACAAGACACTTAAAGCTTCATTGCCCCCATAAATACCAATCTAAATAGGCCTCTGGCATTTAATTTATGTAAAAACAATGATTCAATCTATCGAATAGACCATCATTTTACCTAAAATGCAAGAGTGCAGGTGTCACTTATGAAATTTAATGTTAATGTTCCCTCAGTTTGTTAATGTATTTCACTCTTACAGTGGATATCTGAAATTATTTTCCACATTTCATTTTCAGGTTTAAAAATCCCAATCCATATCCCAGAATGCCTTTATGAGCCAAGTCTCAAATCCATCATCCATCAATCAAAGCCTTAATCCCATAAGTGGGGAGCCCAAGTCTCAAATGGCAAAGAATGTCATATGCCCTCCAACTCATTTATAAATAATTTAACTATTACATATTGTGCCCTGACTATATCGTAGGCTAAAATTATGAGCCAGCCCATATTGCGGAAACAAATAAAGGATGGAGGAAGAAAATCATTGTCAATTAGCATTACAAATATTATACCCACTTATGCTTCACCAACCATATCCATTGTTAACAAGTGTGCAATTAATTGAAAACATCACACACAAACACAAGTATAGCTATTTGAATAAAAAAAAAAAAAAAAAATGGTTTCCCCAACCCCCTTTTTTTTAACCAGCTCATCTCCGCCATTCAGTAGCAATGTTTTCGTCTTTGTCTAATTATTACATTCCAAACAGATTGCAAGGAGCTATGGTTACAGGCCTAACAGCAATGGCATACAAGGTAAAAATAGCTCTACAAACACCTGAATTACTTTAAATTTTCTTCTTTACAATTGACCCGAAATTGCAACCAGCCCCATAAGTCTTTTATTCTAAATCACTCTCCCATTCTACTTAACATGAAAAGCAATACTCTTCCGTTTTTATTTTCTCCACTTACAACATACACCATTGGCACATTGATACTCTTAATTTTTTCCATCACCCTCCCATTCTACTTAACATGAAAAGCAATATTCTTCCTTTTTTTCAGTTACAACATACCCCATTGGCACATTGTGAAAAATAAGTTAACACCAATAAGATGCAAGGTTTGAGTTGTCAATGTTTTGAGTTACTTTAATCGAATTGTCCGTCTACCTTCTCTAATCTCTTCCTTAAACTATGTACCTAAGGAGTATGTTGTATGTTCGGAGGTAGCACGTAACTAGTTCAAGGCATGTACTCAGTCCTAAATTCCTAATGTACTATAATTCCAAATTGTAAGGTATCGATCGAAAAGAAGCAATTTTTGAAAACAAAAATTCATCTTTTAAGTCATTTTATTTACTATTTCTTATATCCCGCATTCCAGACTAACAAATGGGAAAAATTAAATATTAATAATCTGATTTTAATGAGTAATTAAGCAACTTAAAAATAAAATGTTTAGCAGAAAAAAGAACACTGACCTAAAAATTATAGTACTTGTATACAATATTCATAGACAACAGTCAAAGCAATAGCAGTGACCCAAATGACAATTACACCTGCCATTGCTGCCAATTAGCAGAGGCAGCAAAAACATTGTTCATGAAAATTAAAACCATGACAATTAAAATAACACAAACAAAACATAAAATTATGGTCAAGAAAAGAGCAATAATATTAAATTAAAGTCTAAAAAGAAATTTGGTAAACCTAAAAATGTTGAAAATTTGAAAGAAATTGAGAAAAAGGCAGTGATTTACCTAAGAGAGAGCGTGTGAGTCTTTGAATTCGATTTCTGGGAAAAAAGTTTGATCCTGAAATTGTAAAATTGGGGGAAAGTTGGGTTATCTTAGATGGAAGTGGAAAAGAAAGAAGAGGAATAAAAGGGTTGTGTTGTTGTAGTTGTTTGTATGTGAGTGTTCATATGGCTTCTTCGATTTGCTTTATTATGAGTAGTTTTCTGATTGTTGAGGAACAAGAAGATGGTTTTTTTTTTTAGGAAGTATACTCGTGTTTTGCAACAAAGGATTTGAATAGATCAAAAGAAAGCTTTAGATACACAAATAATTGTTGTGTAGATTTTTTCTCAAATTATGCAGGGATTTATATTACCCCTTGAGCGGATTACAACACTCCCCCTTGAATAAATTTCTATAGGATGACTCCTATCTAAAAATTTATATTAGGTAAAAACAAATATTACCACTATTGCACATATATGTTTATCTACCTCATTAAAACCTTGTCAAGAAAAATCTGGTGGGATAAAAACTTAGACGAAGGAAAAAGAGTACAGCACATGTAGGGTTCCCCCTGAATTTAACACATATCACAAAAGCGGCGGCGCGACGCATGCCGGTCATATGCACGAGTTCTTGAAATTTGCTAGGTGATAATGTTTTTGTGAACACATCGACTAAGTTGTTACATGACTGGATATGCTTGACATTAATCTTTCCTTCCTTTTCCAAATCATGAGTAGATTAGAACTTGGGGTCGATGTGTTTCGTTCTATCACCTTTGATATAGCCTCCTCTGATTTGTGTAATGCAAGAAGTGTTGCCTTCAAACATTGTAGTTGGGATTTCTTCGATTGTTTTGATGCCGCTCTCTTTGAGTATATGTTGGGTTAACGATTGCAACCATATGCATTCCCTACCAGCTTCATAAAGGGCAATCAATAGCTTGGCTTGATGAACTCGCTGTTAGTGTCTGCTTGGTTGACTTCCAAGAGATCGTTGTATTTCCATAATTGAAAAGATAATGTGTGTTATGATTTTGATTTTACTGGATCTGATAGGTAGCCTGCATCAGCATATCCCACAAGGGTAGTGATTAGGGGATTTTTCCCCACCAATCACCATCTGACAAGTGGACCAATCAGGTTCCGCCATGTGTCCGTCACATGGGCCAATAGGAGCCTGCCACGTGTCAAGCAATGATCCGTCCACTATGGACCAATTACGACACGACACATGTCCTTCCCATGACACCTGGGATAACCGGTCACCTAGGCCCAACTTCCGAGGGAAGTCCAATCAGCCCAAGGTTAACCTAAACCTAGATTGACACGTTTCCCGAGGTTATAAATACCTCCCTTAATTTTCATTAAGGGAGATAACACGCTAAAAAAGCAGATTACACACATTAAACACTCTCACCTAGAGAGACCCTATTACTTTAATTTCCGCATTAATTACTCCTTAATCAAGTACTCACTTGACCGTCGGAGGCGGATCTCCAATCATCCGGAGCATCCGTTTGTTTTGCAGGTACAGGCGTCCGGTTCCAGTCTCGGAATTGTAACTCTCCCGCAGGACATCAGAAAACCCCGAAACATTTGGCGCCGTCTGTGGGGAGAGTACTTCTGAGATGGCATCCACGTCTGTACCGACTCCTGAAGAGAGGCGTCCCCTAGACGACCCTCAAGTTCAGTCGGACCACGATACTGAGAATGAATTTGAAGTTGAAGCTCACACAGCTTCAGACGGGACCCTAAGGGCCCGACGTACCCGTCATACCGAAAGGAGGGAACGTGAACATCTTCAAACTGGAAGTGAGCCAGCAGGCGCACCGCCTGTTCGGCAGCAGCCGACTGATGGGTCTGCTCCCATCACAAGGAACGAACTCATGACCTTCATGAGGGACTTCAAGGGAGAAATTCAAGAGTTGATCAACAAGAAGCCGCCTGCTCTGGACAAGGATCAGTCGGCTAAGAAACCCTCCACTTCACAGAAGAGGAAGCCAATTCAAGGGCGAGAGGCGACTCCTCATCCTAAATCTAGGAAGCGGGAGCCGACTGCCCTTGATTTCACAAAATACCGTTTTCCTACTCCAGGAACTAGGAAACCTGTTCGTCATATTCAGGCGGACGGGTCGAGGAAAACATACACAGACGCTCGGCTACTGCTAGAGCAGAAGAAGAGTGACCGATTGTCAGAGTCGGCCTCTACTTCAAACTTCCAAGACAGTCTGCGAAATACCTCGATGAGGCATACTCAGTCGTATCATGAGAGTCAGTCAGGCGGCACCTCCCGTCAGTCCGGCTATCATAGCGACCAGGCGGTACCAAACTTACCGTTTGTACCGCAACAACAGTATTTTTTACAGCCACCTCCGTTTGGTGGACATGCAGCAAAAAACGTCCAACCTATGGACTGGCAGCTACGGTTGCTTAGACTTGGCGAACAGCCGTCGGCCTTCTCCAAGGAAATTACTGAAGCCGCTCAGCCGGCCAAAGTGAAAAATGTATTAGTAGGCGCCTATGACGGCACTACTAACCCAGAAGACCATCTGATGGCATTCACCAACCTGATGTACCTTCAAGGGTTGGATGATCCCACTTGGTGCAAGTGTTTCCCAGCGACTCTCAAAGGAATCGCACAACAATGGTTCGGCAACCTGCCGACTGGTTGTGTAAATAGCTTCAAGACGCTTGCTTACTTATTCACCTCCAACTTTGCCATGAACATCCCTGCGAAGAAGACGACTCTTGATTTAGGAACAATTCAGCAGGGCGAGAAGGAGGGGCTTCGTTCTTACATCAGGCGGTTTAACCTGATGAGAATACAGATTCAAGGGTTACCGGATGAAGTAGCCTATACTGACTTTTTCAGAGGTCTCAAAGACGGGTCGACCTTCAAATTTGATTTGGTCCGGAAGAGGGTGGCGACTCTTCAAGAGGCCTTGATTGAAGCGGAAGCCTGTATACAGGCGACTGATCTTTGTAGTACGGTAAAACAGTCAGACGGGAGAAGGTCCGATAAAAGAGAAGGACGACAGAAACAGTCGTCAAACAAAGACGAGAAGAGAAAAGAGGTCTGGGCGGCTGATTCCTCTAAACAGCCGGCCTAGAAAAAGAAAAAAGAATTCAAACCATACTCCCCAAAGTATGCGTTTAACAAGGATAGCCAGTTTATCCTAAAGGAAATCAAGGGACGGATCTCAATTGAGAAGCCGGTCCCCATGAAGGGTTCTGCAAACAACCGGAACCAAGAAAAATTTTGTGCTTATCATGAAGATGTTGGTCATCACACCAATGAATGCATCAGTCTCATGCGGTATCTGGACCGCCTGACTGAGCAAGGTGATCTTGACACTTATGTCAAGAAATCTACGGGGAACACTTCCTCAAAAAAGCAGTCGACCAAAAAGAATCAACAGGCCAGCAGCTCCGATACAGATGATGCAGTCGTCTACACCATTGCAGGCGGCTTCTCAGGAGGCGGCCCCACTATTAGGGGCAACAAAGACAATATCAGACGGTTAGATGTACATTCCGTTCACCAAGAACGACCCTCCAAATATTCATTTCCTGAGATTGTCATCACTGAAGAAGATCTAGGAGGGGTAAGAGGGCCGCATGACGACCCTATCGTTATTGAATGTAAAGTGGCCAACCAGAGAGTTGGCCGAATCCTCATAGATACCGGAAGCTCCTCAGATCTCATCAGTAGAAAATGTCTGTCGAAACTAAAATATCAGACTGATTGCATACATCCGGCATCCCACCCTTTAGTAGGGTTTGGAGGAGGAGTCGTCCACCCAGTGGGACGAGTGGATCTACCCATCCGCCTGGGCGAAAAAGGGGAAGGACGACACATGGTAGTCCGGTTCCTGGTAGTAAAAGAACTCTCGGCCTACAACATGATTCTGGGACGACCAACCCTGAATAATTCCAAGGCTGTTATAACCCCATCTCTTATGTTGCTCAAGTTTGAGAGGGATAATGGAACAGTCGGGTCCTTAAGGGGAGATCAGAGGATGGCCCGAGAGTGCTATCTCTCGGATGTCAAGCCCACTGTTATGGCCACTGGGTTGAGTGGTGGAAAAATAGACCTTGACAATGTCAAGGAGAGTGCGCCTGTTCAAGAAGCAGGCGGCAAGAAGAGAAAGGCATCCCAGACGGGGGCCGCAAGAAAAGACAGAAAATAGCAATCATTGGAAAAGGAGCAGTCGGATGAATTCCGCCCTCAGCCGGCTGGTGAGCATACGGACTTGATCTTAGACGATTCACGTCCTGAGCGAACAGTCAAAGTTGGGACGACTGCTCTGAGAGTCCTGGGTGACGACTTTCACAAACTATTGAAAGAATACAAGGACATCTTTGCATTCGAAGTCCATGAAATGCCAGGCATTAGTCCTGATCTGGCGGTACATAAACTGGCCGTGGATCCGAAAAAGAAGCCGGTACGGCAGAAGAAGCGGAACCATGGCGAAGAAAGAAGTCAGGCGGCAGCCGCCGAAGTTAAAAAGTTACTTGATGCAGGGTTCATTCGGCAATGTTACTTCCCAGACTGGGTTGCAAATGTGGTGCTTGTTAAAAAGCTGAATGGCACCTGGCGAATGTGTGTAGACTACACAGACTTAAACAAGGCGTGCCCCAAAGACAGTTACCCTCTGCCTAAAATTGATAACTTGGTCGACTCAACAGCCGGCCATGCTTTGATGAGCTTTATGGACGCCTACTCTGATTTCCATCAAATTCCTTTATGGAAGAAAGATCAGGAGAAGACGGCCTTCGTCACTGATCAGGGGTTATACTATTACACGGTCATGCCGTTTGGTCTTAAGAATGCCCTGGCCACTTTCCAGCGAATGATAAACACTGTGTTCTTTGATCAAATTGGGAGAAATGTCGAGGCATATATTGATGATATGATTGTCAAGTCTAAACTTCAGAAAGATCATCTGTTGGACCTCCGAGAAACTTTCGCCACACTCAGGCGGCACCATGTCATGCTCAATCCCAAGAAATGTGTCTTTGGAGTTGAGTCTGGGAAATTTCTCGGATTCCTTATCAATCAGAGAGGAATAGAGGCGAACCCTGAGAAGGTGCAGGCGGTCATTGACATGCAGTCGCCTCGTACCATCCGAGAGGTTCAGAAGTTAACAGGTTGTCTGGCGGCCTTGGGAAGATTTCTAAGCCGATCAGGCGACAAATGCCTATACTTTTTCCAGGCAATTAAGAAAAAGGCAAGGTTTGAATGGGGGCCGGATGCTGAGACGGCCTTCCAGAAATTGAAAGTTCACTTGCATTCCTTGCCGAGGCTGGTCAGCCCTTTGCCCAAAGAAGTACTCTACATGTACCTGGCCATCTCTGATCATGCGTTAAGCGCTGTTCTCCTTGATGAAAGAGACGGCCGTCAGCTCCCGGTCTACT